ATTTATGAGTCAGATCCTGAAGAAAAATAAAATAACTTAAGAAGACTTTTTATATACCTATTTATTTTTCCTCTTTATTCCCCTTAAAATGAAAATACTGAGCCTTTCTATTTTACATTTGTGAAAGAAGATAGCAGTGCAGTTAATAGGAGGAGCATGATCCTTGGATTCAAATCTCAGGTTCAGGGCGCCTAGGTGGCTCAGATGGTTAAGCATCTGCCTTTGGCTCAGGTCATGATCTCCAGGTCCTGGGATCAAGCCCCACAATGGGCTACCTGCTCAGCAGGGAGTCTGCTTCTCCCTCTTCCTCTGCCTCTCCCCACTGCTCCTACTCTCTCTCTCTCTCTCTCTGTCTTAAATGAATAAATAAAAAATTCTTAAAAAAAAAAGAAACCGCAACAAAAAAAAAAAACAAATCTCAGCTTCAACACCCAGTAGTTGTGTAAATGTATTTTTCTGCATATCAGTATCCTCCTAATAACTACTTTGCAATTTCTCTGGCCATTAGTATAGACAATAGATATTCAAATATAGCTATTATTGCTATTATCATCAATTATCCTGACCTACAGAAATATACAAGTTCCTTGGAAAGTATACATTTTTGGAGAGTGATCAGGGATGGGGTATTATTATACTTTAATTTTTTCTTTTTTGGTTTCTTTTCCTTCTTTCCGTATATGCATATGTACATGTATTTGTGATTACGAATGTGATTATGAATGCGTGTGTGTGTGTGAATTTCACATACTGTGTGTCAGGCACCATTTCAAGCACTTTGGTAACTTTTTATTAACGAATAAAACAGATAAAAAATTCTACCTGCTCATGGAGCTTACATGATTGTAGTAGGTATAGCTGGAAGCTGATAAATTCTATGGAAAAATGAAGCAAGGTAAGAGGAGAGGAAATTGGGAGTAGATTGCACTTATAAATAGGGAGGTCAGGGTAGGCCTTAGTGTGAATATGACACTGGATTTGTGTTCTTAGGGGTTTTCATGTACTCTCCTCAAGAATGGAGAATGGGGAGAAGGGAGATGAGAGCACAGAAAAGAATAGGAGCCTGCTGATTTGTAGGAAAATATGAGTATTTCCTTTGTGTAACATGTGTCCAAACAAAAAATAATACAGATGAGCGAAGTCTTCCAGGTGGCCTCGTTTTATTTTATTCAGTTTGAGCAAAAATCTTCCTTAAATGCTTTTTCTACATACCTGGCCATCCCAAAAGATGGATACTGAATACAGTCCACTTGGTCTGTGACGGCTGCCGGAGGTCATCACCATGACTCTCGCATCCGTTACTGAACTGTCATGAAGCAGGGTCCTTGGGACCAACAGAGATGCTTTGGGCTATTTGCTTACATAAAGGCTGAGTCCTCAGTGGTTATGAGTTCTACATCATAGCTACTACACACATACGGCTATTCAAATTAAAATAAGTGACATTAAAAATTCAGTTTCTTAGTCACATTAGTCACATTTTAAGTGCTCGATAGCCATACGTGTCTAATGGCACAGATAGAGAACATTTCTAACACTGCAGAAAATTCTGTCAGCATTTGTTATTTTATGTGTTCCTATCTCTGACATTGTTTTTTCTGGTACTATCAGCTTCCAACTGTATCTCTTCTTTTGATTTGTTGTTTCTCATGGTTTATAGGTTTAAATACTAGATTTAGAATTTTGTGTGAAGTAAGGGTAGAGAGGCTCTCTAACAGAGAGCAGAGGAGCTTTCTTATGTTCAAGTCCTTGAGTTGTCATACTTAGAATTTATATTCCTATTCTGACTGCCCCAAGGCCTTTCTCACTTGGTTATTGTTATGCAGCTGTGCTCTGGGTGGTAAGAGAATCAGACTGCTGAGTTATTATGGGAGAAGTGCTATCAAACTTTAAAGGTAAAATTTCACTTTTATGGAAATACTTTAGATGCAGTCAGTGGTACCCTACTTGGAGCAATGCTATTCAAGGAGTGTTTATTGACTGACTGCCTACACACCTACACCAAGCACTGTGTTAGGCCCAGGAGATACAAGCAAAAATGAACATAGCCCCAATCCTTGATATCACAGTTTACGTGGTGGAGAGAATCATAAATAGGCAGAATTTCAATTATCCAGTGCCCAGGTAGGCCCAGGATACTCAAAGCCCAGAGGAGGATGGTTCATAAGCCAGCCTTCCCTGGGGGTGGCGGGGAGGGAAATGAGACAGGAGATCAAAGGCCAGAGAATGCTTCCTAAAGAAGAGATTCTTAAATGGCATCCTGGAGGATAAATTGGTGTTAGTCACATGATGGAGTTGGGAGAATGAGATCAACAAAACATGATGTACCATAGTGTGAACAAAGATGCTGAGGAGTGAACTGGCATGGTGAGAGCGGGAACTTTTAAGTGTATTTTTGATGGAATTTAGAAGAAAAGGGAGATTGTAGAGAGGGGCAGGCTTTGAATGGTATGTTGAAGTGATGGTTTTCAGCAGAGCTGGAGAGGGGCAGGGCGGGGGTGGTAACGTAGGCTGATTACTCAGTAGTTCAGGTAGTTCAGGCAGCTCTGTGGAGGTGAAGTTTGGGGGAGCTAGGCTGGAGGCCGGGACACCAGTGGTGGTAGGTGTGTGGAAGAGGAGGGAACCATAGTAGGCCCTCAGTCCAGAGATAATGAGAGGCTGATGTGAGAGTGTGGAAAAGAGCACCTGGGTTCAATCAACGTTTAAGGCATAAAATTATCAGTATTTGAGGATTAATTTGATGTGGTGACTGAAGGAGAGAGGAGTCAGAGATGACTCTAAGCTTTCAGGAAAGCAGTTAATTTGAACGGTTCTTCCATGTTTACAGTCATAGGTTTTGACCTGTTGCTTCTAGTAGTGATTTGCTTTGGCACCTGTGGTGTCCAGAATGGGTTTTGGCTGTTCAAGTCTCCGTCACACTCTCATTGGTTAAAAGAACTTGAAGCACAGACCATAGTGAAGTACCACCCTCCTATGACTTTAATTCTGCAGCAGCCTATGAAAATTTATAGAAATTCGGCTTCATTTCTAGTGGCTCCAATCCAGATGCCAAAATTACCCCATTGCTGGGACAGCCTTTGGGTGGACCACTGAATCTGTTATTCATTATGAACAACTGAAAACCATCAATAAAATTCTTGTATTATGCCAACAGTAACACTAGTCATGTATTAAGGTAGGTTTCGGAAAGTTACGAATCTCAAAATCTGTCTAGCTGAACTCTTATTTGTATGTTTATACATATTTATTTATCATGTGGAAAAGCTAGTGCCTTCCTTTTTATAATTGCACATTGCTTTTTTTTAGATTATAAATTAAATTTTGAGTTCTGAATGTTGGTAGAGACATGCTTATAGATCTATAATCACTTTATTTTATTTATTTATTTTTTAAAGATTTTATTTATTTGACAGAGAGAGACACAGTGAAAGAGGGAACACAAGCAGAGGGAGTGGGAGAAGAAGCAGGCTTCCTGCCGAGCAGGGAGTCCAATGTGGGGCTCGATCCCAGGACCCTGGGATCATGACCTGAGCCGAAGGCAGACGTTTAACGACTGAGCCACCCAGGTGCCCATGTAGTCAGTCACTTTAAAAGTACAAATCGAGTCCAGATAGGGGAACCAGAAGTAGGCGTGGAGCCAGCCCAAAGGGTCCATTACAATGGGGCCTATATTGAAAGCAAGAATTCTCTCATACCTGTAGTGCATTTTAAAAGGATTTTCCAAGTAACAGTTAATATTTTAATGACATCTGTTAACCTTCCAGAAAAACCTAGTTCTCTATTTTGCAAGATTAAGGAAACATGCCAAATACATGTTGATACTTCTGCTTTTATTGACATATTTCATGACTGCATGGCTAAATCCACAAAAGAGTAGGCCCCAGCCACTTTCTTTTCATAGTTTTATTTAGTCACTGCACCTGGCTTTTGTTGCTGAATATCTTCTCCTTGTCACTCAAACTGCTCCATCAAATTGGATCTTCAGTGATCTGGCAGTTTTGAATCACTTCTTGGAGGCTGTGAAACCCTGTTCCCTAATCAGGAAGATCTGGGTGAGTCTTGTAGGAGGAAAGATGGTACATCTCTTCTAAGTAAGACAACAGGATTATGGGACAGTTACAACTTCAGAAGTTTTATCTGGAGAATAGTGGTGTGTTTTGGTGATGAACAAGTACTGTAAATTGAGAAGCACGGGAAGTTTTCATATTCTTTAGGAGTGTTTTGTATAAAGGAGGAATGAAAACAAGCTGACTTTTTGTAGTTCTTGGTAGAGGTTACATTAACTATTTGTCAAAAGTTAGATTTTTGAAGATTCTTGGCTTCTAAGAACATTCATCATGAACTGCCATTCTTTGTATGCTGTCCATGAAGGTTGTTTAACAACATGTCAAAATAACTTTATAAAAAGATAAATATAGGGTGCCTGGGTGGCTCAGTTGGTTAAGCAACTGCCTTCGGCTCAGGTCATGATCCAGGAGTTCCGGGATCGAGTCCCACATCGGGCTCCCTGCTCAGCGGGGAGTCTGCTTCTTCCTCTGACCCTCCACCCTCTCATGCTCTCTCTCTGTCTCTCAAATAAATAAATAAAATCTTTAAAAAAAAAGATAAATATATGTTTCATTAATCCCAATGGGAGCTTTCTGAAGTGCATTTTCTTTATGAATAATTAGTGTCATTCTGTGAAACTCATGATTTCTTAGGGTGGGAAAGAAGGGGTAAGAAGCTATCTTTTCAAGCAGTTTGTGATTTAGTACCAGCTGGTCAAGTGAGTTGAAAAACCTTCTGAGTCATATGTCATATTATTTTGAATGCCTTTTCTCTCTCTTGGGAAACTGTCTAACCTCTGCAGTCTCTCTCCCATGGCAAATCACTCTAAAACTTTGATCTTCTCAAACCAGTTTGTCAGATGTAGCAGATAAAGCATGTATGACCTTTTGTGTGCCAATTCAACCTGGCTGGTCGGAAACCATAAGTTAATCCTGTATGACTTTTATTTCCAGGCATTACAGCAGAAGTTCTGGTGGTAACCTCTTTCGAGGAACTGCAGAGAAGGGCCCCAGAAGCAAGAGGGAAGATTGTTGTTTATAATCAACCTTATGTCAACTACTCGAAGACAGTGCAGTACCGGGTCCAGGGGGCAGTGGAAGCTGCCAAAGTGGGGGCTTTGGCATCCCTGATTCGGTCAGTGGCTTCCTTCTCCATCTATAGGTAGGTCATGGTGTTCATTTGAAATTCTTTAAAAAACCAGGGTTGTCCATGAAAGAGGAGCCCTTATGAAATAAAAACAAAGCATTCAAATGAAAATAGTGATTGTTTATGGAATTTTCCCCCCATTCCATATTTGGTCATTTGTTTGTAACATCTTCTTTGGCTTTTTTAGGATTCCTAGCATTATTTGTACATTCTTTTAAAAAGCTTTCCACATCCATGATGACCCCATAACATTTCTTATGTAACCAGTATGTTACGTATTTTCATTGGAGGGAGAACTGAATTCACGTCTGTTATGACTTCAGAGGAAGCCAGGCCTTTTCCCATTGTTGCTAGAGAAGTGAAATAAAAATAAAGTGGATAATATGACGGGAGTTGTCTGTGGTGGAGTAGAAAGAGAGGAGGAAGCAGAGGATCTTGGATATAGACCTGGTTCTGCCCCCAAACAAGTATGTGGCCTTGGGAATGCTCTTAAACTCCTTGGGTCTCAGCATTCTTCACTGTGAATCAGTGATGATGAAGAATTATATATTTATAATATATAATTTGTATAATTTGTATAATTTACAAACATTTGGGAATAAATGAGATGAACTTATGAAAGATACTTGATTTTCTGCAAAGGTCTAGTAAGTGTTTTGTGGTATTTAAGGGCAACATAAGTTTTGTCTTTTTCTTTGTAGTTCTGATTGAGGTAATTGTGAATTGCTTTATTGATCCTCAAGCAATTTGTGATTTAGTACCAGCTGGTCAAGTGAGTTGAAAAACCTTCTGAGTCATATGTCATATTATTTTGAATGCCTTTTCTCTCTCTTGGGAAAGCATTGCAGTGGATAAAAGTTCTAAGACTTGACCTGTAGACATTTGGCCTAAGTTAATAGCTACATATGGTAGTGTCACACATTAAGGGTGAAGTATTTGATAGACATAAACATGGATAAAAGAAGCACCATTCTAGTCATAGTCTGATCTCCCAAAGATAACAAAAAAAAAAAAAAAAGAAAACAAGGCAAGCAGAAACAATTGCAACTAGGGTTTATTTGGGTTTCAAAATTAGATTCGTATCTATTGTAAAGGAAAATTTATTTATTCTATACAATTTTTGTTTGGAGCTGGAAACACAGCTGTTTGATCTTAATTAGCACACTGCGCTCTTGAAAATAATATAATTGAGGAGAAATCAGCCAATAAGAAACCAACTCAGAAGGGTGTTGTCCAAAATCACAGAGAAAAAAGGAAAGGGACATTTTTCTTTTATGGGGATAAGATATCTTCCCAGGGAGGAAGATGGGACATGTTAAAATCACTTTTAAAAGTTTTATAAGAGAGAAACTAGTTCCACTGATGTCATAGTGCTAAAATAATGTTCTTTGTAGAGTCTAAAGGTTTGGGGACTAGTGAAATAATCATTGGACCTTAGTCTTTTGGATGGTTAATCTTCCCAGGAGGGAAGTCCTAAAATGGTTAGCTTACTTCCCAGAATACCTCAATCGCCCCTTAGAATAACGTACTCGTCAGCAAGCTGTGGCCATTCACTATGACTTCACTGGTCATGAGATCTAAATTATGTAGTTAGTCTGTTGCTTTGTGAAATGGGGTGATTGCCAAAAATATTTATCTAAGAACTACTCATAAGACTAATAAACTCCAAAATGACTTAGTATACTGCAATCTGCCAGGGTTAACTGACATTTTTTTTTTCTGGTATAATGAAGATGTCTGGAAACCAAGTCTATAACCTGGGAGCCCCAGAAAAATTATGCCCAGCATAGAATGTAGACATCTCTTGTTAACCTCTAATATTTTGGGTCAACAAATTCTAGTGTATACCAAAAAGACATTTTTCTTTTTCTTCATATTTCTAGATCTAGACTGATTATAATTTTTCATTGATTTTATAGCTAACCATATTTCACTGGACTCTTGACTTTTATAACTTTGTATTTTTGACATTTATAAATACATAATAACATTGCCCTTTACACAGTACTTTAGAGTCTTTGACATATGTCATCTTACTTGTTCTGACAACTTAGCAGACCTAGCAGAAGGGGCATTGTTACCCCATTTTACAGATAGAGAAATGAAAGTTCAGAGAATTCAACATGTTACCATGTTTAAGTCTTACATCTTGAAAACTAAAGCTAAAATGAAACAAACTCTGCCTCTTTGTCCACTTCTAGCTAATTGTTCCTTAGAGCTAATTTTCCTTAGAAGAGTATTTTTTATGTTCCTGTCTCTAATTCTTCATCCATCGTTCCCTCTGCACACCATTTTAATCTGGCTTTGCCAGTATTGAAATGGAACCTGTTAAGGTCACAAATAGCAACCCTAGTTGTCAAATATAATGGACATTTTTCAGGCCATTATTTGACTTCCCCTCTCTGAAACATCGTCGCTGTTGACTGCTTCCTAAATATCTCTTTTCTTTGGCTTCTCTGACTTCTCATATTCTCTTTCTCTTTCTTGCTCTCACCCCTTCCCTCTTTCCTGCTTTCCCTCTTCCTCTTGTTTCCCTGGCTTCTCACTCTGAACACTCGACCTGAGCAGTCCTGTCATGCTTGTGACTTCCGCCACCATCTCTACTGTGACACTTTCCAAACCCACCTCTCTTTCCCATACCCGCTGCCTGAGCCCTAGGCCCTTATGTCCCGACACCTCCCGATACGTGTTTCAGGTGTTCCATAGTGGTCTGCACTTCGGTTTTCTTCAAGACCGAGCTCATCCTCTTACCTCTTTATCCTGCATTTCCTACTTCAGGGAAGAGACTGTCATCTGTTCTGCCTACTGAGCTAGATGGTTCTTGAGTACTTTTTGTTCTCTTCCCTTATCCATCATTCCTGGTGATTACTCTGTCTCCTAGGTCCTGCTCTTTCTTAGTCATTTCAACAAACGCATATTGAGTAGCTCCATTTCCCAACATCACTCCACACTCCGGTAGTCTGGAGTCACTAACATTTTGCCGATGTACCACGTGTCCTCAAGGTTCATGGCTTGGCATGTGATTTCTCCCTTGTAGCCTTCTATCCTCTTCCTCACTGTCTCATACTGTCCTTCAAGATTCATCTTGAGCGTTTCTGTTTCTGGGGAGCCCTCCCTGATATCTAGATCCAGTGCAGGCAAGCCACCTCTTTCCGGTATTCGCACATCATCCTGTGCATACTCTGTATCATGATGTCTTGGAGGTAGCTGTGGTTCGTGGCGTGGTAGGGTACACTAACTCTTGTAACAGCTCCGAATCTCCGTCACCTAACCCAATAGGAATTGAGTGCTCACATACTGGTTCCCAGAGGGTATTCAGCAGGTGGCCTTCTGCTCCTTCCCATCTTGTGACACCACCGCCTCTAAGGTCTCAGAGTCCTCTTTTGCATCCAGCTGGCAAGTAAGAAGATAGAGAAAGTCGCTAATCAAACGGGAGGTTTTCCATGGCCAGGTCTGGACATGGCGTACCTCACTTCTACTCACATTTCACTGGCCAGAATGAAGTTATGTGGAGGTGGGGAAATTTGGTCTATCTTTATGCCATCAGTGAAAGGTAAACTGTCCAGTCCATCTGAACCGCCTGACTCCACTCTAAGTTCCAGAAAGACATTAAAAAAAATATATGTATATGTATATTTAATATTATATTTAATATATGTAAATATGTACACATATATTTATATATATTTAAAACCTCTATATCTCCATCATCTAGTATGTTTCTTACATAATAGTCACTCAGGAACAGTTCTGTTGAAGGAATGAACTTGTCTGAAATTGTATAGTTAGTCATGGCAGGGCTGTTATGATAAATGTGGTGACCATATTCTAAGTACTCTCTGACCAAACTGTGTAGCCTCTGTATAATAAGTTCAAAACAACCTGAATTTTTAGAGGACTTTGCTCTGTATTTAAGGAAAATATCCAGGTGCCCTATATTGCCAGATTATGTCTTTTTTCTGCCACAACATTCATGAACAACGATGTTTTGAATAAAACTGCTCCCTTCTCTCTGACAGACATTTCACCTGTAGTTCTATGGGAGCGGTGATACAGGATTCCGGTTAGGAGTAGTGTAGAGATCAGCAACCCTAAAGAACAGAATATAAATTGTAATTAGTTTCTGCTCGGCTTCAAAATCAGAGAATCCCCTAAAGGGCAGAAAATGTATTTGACCAGTTTAACTTGACATTTGTCAGCGCCGTTAACGATATTTGTCAGCCATTTTGGAAGTACAACAGTCACATGGTTACATGACAGATATCCTTAAGAAACATCTGTAAAACATCCATTACTTGTTGCCTTCAATATCTCCAGGCTCATTGTTGTCATTTCTCTGTATTGCCATTATTAGTATTCTTGTCCTCAAATTTTCTTCAAAGAGAAGATTTTTTTCTTTATTAAGGCTTTTATAGTGACTTTTGTTCACCATTAAGTATCAACTGGGACTCTCATTAGATCTTTTTTAGTTTTTCTGTATGTAAAATACCTTTTGCCTTGGTCATAGGAGGATATTTTAAGGATAAATGTAATTATTAATTTAAGTTCTGCAGAGGAACCATTTGTCTTACATTATTTCTCAAATTAATTCATTTTTTAGTAAATATTTATTGAGAGCTTACCAGTGCTCAGAAGTTGCCAAGCTGTAGGGTTATTAAAATGAATTAGACATGGTTTTTCTCCCTCAGAAATATTCCATCTGGCTAAAAGAGAGGAGGGTAAGCTTAAAATATAAAACTAATGTAATCTCTTTTTATATTTAGTGCTAAATGAGTAATGGGGGAAAGGAATGAAGGAAAGAAATGAACATTTATTTAGCAACTACTTTGTTCTGTGCATCTCTGAAGGCTTAAATAGTTTGTTTCAATTAATTCTTTATGCAATCCAATGGAGGCAGATAACTGGTATCTCTCTTTTACTGAAAGAGAAACAGGTTCGGAATGCTTAGATAATCAAATTACACAGCTAGTGAAAGAACTAGGATTCATAATTAGAGTCTCTGGTTCTAAATTCTA